AAAATCATTAACTTTATGAATTCAGTCCATTTCTTCTATAAAGAGTAACTACACTCATCTCACACGCTAGTAAAGTAATGCTCAAAATTCTCCAAGCCAGGCTTCAGCAATACATGAACCATGAACGCCCACATGTTCAAGCTGGTTTTAGAAAAGGCGGAGGAACCAGAGATCAAATTGCCAACATCCGCTGGATCATCGGAAGAGCAAGAGAGTTCCAGAAAAACATCAATTTCTGCTTTATTGACTATGCCAAAGCCTTTGATTGTGTGGATCACAATAAACTGGAAAATTCTGAAAGAGATGGAAATACCAGACCACCTGACCTGCCTCTTGAGAAACCTGTATGCAGGCCAGGAAGCAACAGTTAGAACTGGACATGGAAGAACGGACTGGTTCGAAACAGGAAAAGGAATACATCAAGGCTGTATATTGTCACCCTGCTTGTTTAACTTATATGCAGAGTATATCATGAGAAGCGATAGGCTGGAAGAAGCACAAGCTGGAATCAAGATTGCTGGGAGAAATATCAACAACCTCAGATATGCAGATGACACCACCCATATGACAGAAAGTGAAGAGGAACTAAAAAGCCTCTTGACGAAAGTACAAGAGGAGAGTGCAAATGTTGGCTTAAAGCTCAACATTGAGAAAACTAAGATCATGGCATCTGGTCCCATCACCTCATGGGAAATAGATAGGGAGACAGTTGGAACAGTGTCAGATTTTTTTTTTTTTTGGGGGGGGTGGGTTTCCAAAATCACTGCAGATGCTGTTTGCAGCCATGAAATTAAAAGACACTTACTCCTTGGAAGGAAAGTTATGACCAACCTAGACAGCATATTAAAAAACAGAGACATTACATTGCCAACAAAGGTCCGTCTAGTCAAGGCTATGGCTTTTCCATTGGTCATGTATGGATGTGAGAGTTGGACTCTGAAGAAAGCTGAGCGTCGAAAAGTTGATGCCTTTGAATGGTGGTGTTGGAGAAGACTTTTGAGAGTCCCTTGGACTGCAAAGAGGTCCGACCAGTCAATCCTAAAGGAGATCAGTCCTGGAGGTTCATTGGAAGGACTGATGCTGAAGCTGAAACTCCAATACTTTGGCCACCACATGCGAAGTGTTGACTCAGTGGAAAAGACCCTGATGCTGGGAGGGATTGGGGGCAGGAGGAGAAGGGGGCGACAGAAGATAAGATGGCTGGATGGCATCACGGACTTGATGGGTGTGAACTTGAGTAGACTCCGGGAGTTGGTGATGGACAGGGAGGCCTGGCGTGCTGCAGTTCATGGGATCGCAGAGAGTCGGACACAACTGAGCGACTGAACTGATGCTATTAGTAGCAAACAGTATTAGTAAAATAGCATAAACTTTTTAATCAATGAGACTTTCCACATTGTCCAAAATATTCTTATATATTTCTATTAAAAAAATTGAAATTCTTCCTCAGTATGACAGAAATTAAGAGGTTGACTTACCAATCTTATACTTAAGAGGTTTTTCTGAAGCTGTTCAGTTTCGCCCGCTTGATTTTTGACTGTCGTTTGTAACTCGGCATTTTCAATTTCAAGCCTAAAAATGCAGATTTTAAAACAATGATTCTCACACACAGGGTTTCTTGTTTAAAGATGTTTTTGAATGTGGACCGTTTTTAAAGCCTTTATTGATTTACTGCAATAAAGTAAATCTGGTTAATGTTTTGGTTTTTTGGCTGTGAGGCACGTGGGATCTTAGTTCCCCAACCAGGGATCAAACCCACACATACTGCCTTCGAAGGCATAGTTTTAACCACTGGACTGTCACGGCAGTCCTTCACACACAGATTTTTAAAATACCACACTGTTTCTGAGCAAACACCTGCAGGTTCAATTATGTAGGCTTTTAGAATTTTGAAAAGTAAATGATTTGACAGCTGTACTGTTTTTCTAGTTGTGTTTGGTGGATAATTGGCTTCCTTGGTGGCTCAGACGGTAAAGGATCTGCTAACAATGCAGGAGACCAAGGTTCGATCCCCGAGTCGGGAAGATCCCCTGGACAAGGAAACAGCAAACCACTCCAGGATTCTTGCCTGGAGAATTCCATGGACAGAAGAGCCTTGTGGGCTATGGTCCGTGGAGTCATAAAGAGTCAGACATGACTCAGTGACTAAGACTTTCATTTCTCACTTGTAGATAATGTGCAAAATATGGAAATAATGGGGGAAAATATGCATCTCAAAACAGCTCAAAGCTGAAATGTTACCCAGCTTCACAATGATGTTTTTATTATCATTACTGATCTAATTCTCATATTATACTGTTTATCTGCTTTATACTTAAGTATACTTAAGTATACTTAAGTTTTCTGTGCTGCTTTAAATCATACTTTTGGATGTGATCCTGTGTTTTTTCAGCACATCTCACGGCCTCTGTATGTTGATCCTGTGTTTCTTGAGACTGAAAATAGAAAAAGGAAAAAAACAACTGTTTAATTACTAATAACCTAGTGAATCTGCCAATGTCAGTTTCTGTCTCTCCCATCTGCATACTGCTTATGGCTGCTTTCCTGCCATACAGTAGAGTTGAGTTGTTACAATAAACCCCGTACAGTCCAAAAAGTGAAAATATTTACTGTCTGCCCTTTGTTCGTTACTGACCTCTCCCTTCGGACTCAAACACAAAATCATTCAAGCTTTAGATTAGATTTTCTCAAATAAATACACAAATTTATAAACTGCCCAGATGGACAAAGACAGCAAATTACCTGACGATGAACATATATACATATATTTTTATTCCAAGCTCCATATCAGCCATCACTTTAAGTACCCACATAGGTGAATGACCACGGGTCTTCCAGTGATTATAAAAGCTAGCACTGCTGTTGGTGACAACCAGATGCTTCAGGGACTAGTGTGAGAGGCAGGAACTACCTGGAAGCCAGAATCCATGGGCCTGTGTTCCAATTCCCTCAGTTCTGAGCTGTGAGTCCTGGGGCAAATTACTTAACCTTCTGTATCTCAGGTTCTCCATCCATAACATGGAGATAGTGGCAGCATCAACCTCAGTGGGATGCTGGGAAGATTAAACTGGGGACTATACATAATGTATTTAGAAGAGGACGTGGCAGATACTAAGAGCTGTTTGTAACTGGCGTTATTACAGTCGCTGTATTTTACCTGCAAAACAATTTGATAATTCAGGCAGACGGCATGCCAACAGAAGTGGTCTTCTACACAAGTCACCCTGAAATCCCTCTCCATACCGTTGCAAGGGGCAGTAAGGGGGAGCATGAGGCCCAGAACACATGTCCAGAACTTCAAAACCGTTCACTGACTCCACTAACCAGCTAGTACTCTAGTACTTTTCTCCACTTACAGTAATTTGTAACTTACTTCCTCTCTGTACTACTCAGTGGACAATGACCACAGGTTAATATGCACATAGCACCTCCTGGACAGAGTGTGGTGCAGAACTTACATGACCGTCAGAGGAAGAAGGGTGAAGTCACTGCCATGGAAATATTACCCTACTGCTAAATCAAAGTTCTGAGTCAATTCATTCCCACAGCTGTTAATGTCTAGCAAGCACTCCGGTGAGACAATTCAGGTTACAAGGTACGGATATCAGGGAGGCTATTCCCAGAACTTTACATTTGGCGAAAGGCTAGAAATCTGTAAATCCCACTTCTGCCTACATACCGAAGGAAGGCAAATTTACACTTTTCTCCCAGAGTCAGGGAGAAAAATGAGCTTTTAATTGAGCAGTTCTCCTCTATTAGACTAAGCGCTTTCAATTTTACATTGAGTTGCTAAAAATACATTTTAATAAAAGTTTTACTATACAAACATCTTCAAGAAGAAATAACTGGCATGGCATGAAGTACTTAGTTTTGTCCTAACAATTGTTAAGCTAAACTGTTTTCCATTTATGCAAGACAAGTGCTGTGCCTATCAACAAATATTCCCTGTTAGACCAACGTATACCCAGAGAAGATTCTCCCTCATGAAAACAATTACAACAATGCAAAACTAAGGGCTAGATTGTTCTTCACACACTACATGACAGGGCTGAAGAGAAAAGGCTCAATGAGAGCTGGACAGTCAGGAAAGCTCCATGGAGGAGGAGAGACTGGGCACCAGGTCTGAATAAATGGAGGACTACCCAAGAGGAAAAGAAACTGTGAAGACAGAAAGGACAATCTGAGCAAAGGTCAAGGAAAGGTGAAATCAGCCAGTGAACTCTGAGGACAAAATCCATCCACAGGAAAATAAAAACATGCCCATCCAGAAATGTGTAAACCAATGTTCACAGCAGCATTATTAATAGTCACAAAGTGGGAACAACTCAAATCTCCATCAACTTATGAATGGATAAATATAGCCACGTACTGTTTATTGTTTGACAGTCAACAGAAATGGAAGAACTGATATGTGCTATAACATGGATGAACCGCAAAACAACATCAGATGAGAAAAACTAATCCCAAAGGAGCATACTGCACGATTCCATTTATATAAAACACCCAGAACAGGCATGTCTACAGAGAAAGATATTAGACTGGGGGTTGCCTGGGTCTGAGGGAGATGGGGGGTCATAGGAGGTAGCTAAGGGATGCAGGGTTTCTTTTGGGGTTGTAGAAATGTTCTAAAATTGACTGTGGTCACAGGTGACACCTATCTAGACTAAGAGATACTGAACTACACACTTGGAATGGGTGAATTATATGATATGTGAATTATATCTCAATAGCTTTTTAAAAATCCAAAGGCACCATCTAGATAATCTTCTTAATTCTCTATTTTCGATGTAGGTGTTATACTCCATCTGAGTACCCCATGCTTTTACAATGTATCGAAAAGGAAGAGAAGGCAGTGCCTAACTTCAACTGGTTTGTATAATACACTTTCTGCACAAGTTATTCTGAAATGCACAAAATAAATATATACAGAACTGCACCGCCATTCAGAAAAGTGAAGATGAGAAATGATAATTTTCTGGAACATTCCATTAAACATTATCCTCTGATTTTATCTGGCTTGCCTCATCATGGTAATACAGGGATCATGAAATAAAATATTGTTCAATCGAAGAAAAAGTCTCTCCACAGATGTATAGAACAGACTTTTGGGCTCTATGGGAGAAGGCGAGGGTGGGATGATCTGAGAGAACAGCATGGAAACATGTATATTATCAAGTGTGAAACAGATCGCCAGTCCAGGTTGGACGCATGAGACAAGTGCTCGGGGCTGATGCACTGGGATGACCCAGAGGGATGGGATGGAGAGGGAGGTGGGAGGGGGGTTCAGGAGGGGGAACACATGTAAGTCCATGGATGATTCATGTCAATGTATGGCAAAAACCACTGCTTTGTGGTTTTTGTACTTTACACTGTTTTGTAAAGTAATTGGCCTCCAACTAATAAAAATTTTTAAAAAATAAAGAACTCCAAAAAAAAAAGAAAGAAAAAGAAGTCTCTCAAGTTGTGTGAAGAATGATGCACAATTCTCCACTTTCCTAAGGGTATATAATATACGAAAACAATATATATAATGCAAATGGCAGAATGAAAGTCAGAGTTTAAGAAATGAGTGCACTTAAAGATTTAAAAAAAATTATAGTAAATTACTAGTAATGAAAATAAAAAAGGAAACTGTCCATGAAAAAGAGCGTCCTAAAACACTTTATCGTATGTATTCACTGTCGACACATTCAGTTTCACACATACCTGACTTGTGAGTTGATGTAAGTTCTTTAAATCCCGTGCCTCAACTTCTAACTTCGCATGATAACGTGACATGACCTCCAGGGACGCCTCTGACGCAGACTGCTTTTTGAGGCTATCAGCCAGTTCTTGCCAAAGTTGTCTCACAACTGCCTAATAAGATTCTCTGTCACTGAGTTTATCAAATCACTTTATTATGACGTTGTGTTAGTAATACATAATGCCAACATATGGACTTTGAAAACTATCACCACACACAGCAACTCACCTTCTTTCCCTCCTCCCTGAATGTGGCTGCAGACCCAGAAGGGCCCCCCACCGGCCTTCCTGATATTAAGTTCCTCAGACGAAGGAGGCAGCCCCACTGTCCACGCCCTGCCCCTCCCGATAAATCTGCAGAGCTCCACCACCTCACGTCCAGAATGAAACAGGTGTGTAGGTGGGACAAGCAGTGGAAAATTCCACCCTGTGGAAACATTTTTCCTCTTTCTTTATCAGAGCCTTCAATTAACATCAGAGATCTTCACATATTTAATCCAGTGCTCAGATCTTTCCAACAGATTCCTATCCCAGCAGAAAAATGAGGCCATTCCCTTGGGGCTTATCTATCTGATATCTGGTCGTGTGTCTATGTTAATCCCAGACTCTTAATCTCCCCTTCCTCCCTGCCTCTGCCCTTGGCTCACCACCAGGCCCCACTGCGGAGCACAGGGGGCTCTGCTCAGTGCTCTGCAGTCACCTGCCTGGGAGAGGACCTGGGAGAGAACGGATACGTGTGTAACTGCACCAACGTGCTGTGCACCCGAAACTAACGCAGAAGTATAAACCAACTACACTACAAAAAAAAAAGGAAAAATACAATTTACAAATGAGGTTGCTCCCATGGCCCTCAAGGAGCCTAGATAGCCTGGCCTCCACCTGCCTCTGGACCACAGCCCGTACAGCCCTCTCCCTGACTCACTCCATTATTGCTGCTCTCAAGTCCTGCCACCCTTCATTTTTATTGGGCAATCTGGTATTCAAAGAATAGCAATTGATCCTTAAAACGAGAATTATGAGTAAATTGTTTGTAAACATATTCTAAGTAAATAGCAGTCGGAAGATTAAAACAAGAAGAGCTTGGTTAAAGCTCACCACTTGACTCCCAAATTATGATTTAATAACAAGTATACTTAAATGACTTGTCAATGAATTCTCAATTTAATGACAACTCCTTAAAGAGTTGAGAGGTCATAAGAATAAATGACTCAAGCCTGAAATGTTTTACAAGTTAATTCAAATTTACATGAACAAAATTAAAATTATACCAACAAATATGACAGAAAGGTATGGCAAGCTACTGAAACCAAAGTACTATATATAAGTGATAGCATCTGGGAAACATGGAATTGACTGTCAAGGTAATCCATGTAACTGAAGCTTAATTTCAAAATATTCAGTTTAGGTTTGAGCGTTTCTTTTATCTGCTTCATCATGATACTGACATGTGGTTATATAGAGATTAAAATTATTTTCTGAATAGTAAAAGAGTAAATTACTAATACCTGTCTATATTAAAAATTTAGAATTTAATCTCTTAACATTTCATAAGTGACACGATGTCTCTACTCAAAGTGAAGCATCTCTCGGGCCTAATTTTTATTTGCTGGATACAAGGTGTGCTTTTTAGTCTGTTTTAGAGACCACAGACTCATAGCCTGTGTATTTTTTATATTCAGCTAGATTCAACCTTTAGCCAGAATTAAGAATCACTTTGAATTTCTTTCAGGAAGTCTGAGAATTATTTCTCCTTCTGGATACTTACTTTTCTTTCTGCTTTCTTATTTTCATACTGACACACACTCTCTTCTAAATAACTACATTTGTTGATTAAATCCTTGTTTCTTTCCTCCAGCATCAGACCTTGTTTCTCATGTTCAGCACGAAGATTTTTCATGATCTGCTGAAACTGGTCTTGGATGCTAATGACTGTCTTCTCTTTACTGTCAGCTCTATTTTGTGCATTTTCCAGCTGCTGTCGGAGCAACATGTTTTCACTCTGGAGTTGAGATAACCTCTCCTCTAAGGATTCCTGCTTTCCAAGATATTCCTTCACTTTGCCTTGTTCAATCTGATACATGTGTCCAGTATCCTGCTTTTGATGCTCTGCTTGGAGTAAGTCTCTCTGGACAGGTTCTAACATCAAAGTCTTTTCTCCGAGATCATCTCTCATCTGATGCAGCTTGATTTTTAGCGTATTGAATTGACTTTCCACTTTAGAAAGTCCCTGGGAAAGCATCTCATTGTCACTTTTCAGCTTAGCCATATCGAACTTCATTGGGTCCTGCAAGCGTAACGTCTTGTCTTTTGCTTTCTGGGAGGCAAGTGACAGGTTTCTTTGTGATATCTGACCTTGATCACGATTGTGTATGGCAGCAGCCAGTCTAGAGTGGTAGGATTCCACTTCTGTTTCCAGTCTTTCTTTGCTTCGCTTTGCATTCTCCAGCTCAGGGTTTAGCATTGTATTTTCAGCTACCGGAATGGTAAGCTGGCCAGGATGCTGGAATATGGCCTTTGTCAACATTTCCTTGTTCAATTTTATTGCCTTTTGAGGATAATCATTCTCTCCTTTTACAATTTCAGTACCCTCAAAACATTTCTTTTCTTTCTCCTGGTTCTGATTTTTCCCTGTGTCTATTTCTAATCTTGGCATGGCAATTTCATCCTGCATGTGGCTTTTGCGCAACAGACCTTTTGCCTTTCTACCACTATCAGAAACCTAAGTGAGACAAAGGAGACTTTGAGTTAGTACTCACTAAAATGACATTTCACCATTTCCTCTGAAATGAAAGACTAACCTGTATGTTTATACAATGAAAAGACTGCACCAAGTGGATATCCAAATGGAAAAAATAAGGTTCAGTACAAACCTCAGACCTTATACAAGCAGAAATTCCCAAAGGTTCAAACATTTAATTGAAGACAATGAATCCATGAAAGGACAGAGAAAGCCCAAGAGACTTTTGGAGCTCAGAACTGGAAAGGGTTTCTCTGAATTACAACATACCCAGAAAGCTTAAAATAAAAGATTTATAGATCTAACTACACCTAAAAATTGCATCTGATGTGGTATATTTATATAATGGAAAACTACAAAGCCATAAAAAGAATGAAATAATGCTATTTGCAGCAACAAAGATGGACCTAGGCATGATCACACTAAGCGACGTAAGTCAGACAAAGACAAGTCATACTGCTTATATGTGCAATCTAAAATGAACTTATTGACAATCCAGAAAGAGACCCACCGACGTAGGAGACAAACTTACTCACCATACGGGAAAGGGGGTAGGGAAGGGATAAATTAGGAGGTTGGGTTTAACATATACCATTATATATAGACAAGTGTATATAAAATAACCAGTAAGGATCTACTGTACAACATAAGGAATTACATTTAATATTCTCCAGGAAGAATCTGACAAGCAATATGTGTGTGTGTTTGTGTGTGTGTTAGTCAGTCATGTCCAACTCTTTACGACCCCACAGACTGAGCCCGCCAGGCTCCCCTGTCCATGGGATTCTCCAGGCAAGAATGCTGGAGTGGGTTGCCATTTCCTCCTCCAGGGGATCTTCCCGACCCAAGGATTGAACCCAGGTCTCCTGCATTGCAGGGGGATTCTTTACAGTCTGAGCCAGCAGGGAAGCCCCATTTACATAATATACACACGCATATACATATATGTCTGAATCACTGTGCTGTACACCTGAAACTGATGCAATATTGTAAATCAACTACAATCCCATAACACCACCACTCGCTCCCTTTAAAACTGCATCTGATAGCTCCTACACAGCTACTTCAAGTAAGAGCCTTAGCTCTGTACATATTTAAATAGATGAAATTTCATGCAAAAATTGTTTTCTTGAGAATATGCTACCTTTCTAACATTTTAAAAGGCAATTACAAGGCTTATACCTATTGACAACTGCGCTAAGCACTTCTACAAACATCAATTACCTCATTAGCGATAATGATTCTGGAAAGGAAGAAGTTAAAACTATGTAAGTAAGCTGCAGGCTTTTCACCAGGTCTTCTGACTCCACTAGTCCTCTTACATCAAACCACAGTCACTTCTCTAGTACAAACACATCAATACAAAATACTCATCCTATTTCATTCATGGTATATACACTAATGGTAAATAAGGTAAAATTTAGAGAGCTCTTCTTAGAGAATCATGAGATTGTTTTCTGCTGCAGGAACTCTCATTATATCTTCATACTGTTTAAAACAGTAAGATGGGGGAATACAATGAGAAACATAATTATCACTAGATGTATACTATGGCATATCTATCACTGTTTTCAAAAGTTCCTTGTACTGAAGGAGGACACTACACAGAATGAGGGTTCGTTTTCTCAGAAGTACAAGAATGACTTCCAAAGTATGGCCTCTGAACTGCCTCTACTTTTCCTCCTTACCTTCAGTGGAAGTGATAAATTAACCTAATGATCAAGGAAGGGAAATCACTACTATAAACCAGAATAGCTGCTGTTAAGAGCAAGAGTTTTTTTTTTTTTTTTTTTACTTTTTTTCCTTGGTGGGAGGGGGACTTTTATAAGTTTATTCCAAAGAAACATTTTTTTAAAGTGTACAAAAGTATTTTTACAACTGATGCTGCAGCTTTTACAAACTGAAAAACTGTAAACGATGTGAAAAAGCCGTTGACAGGGCACTGGTTACAGAAACGAGAGTGGAGCCAGGGGCGGACTCTGACTGAGACACCGGAGATGATGCGGGCGAGGAGGGACGCACACGTTCCCCGCAGAGCACAAGGGCATGGTGTGCAGCGCAGTCGACGGGGGAGCATACGCGCTCTGCCTGGCCTAAGCCGCAGTCAGGGTCCCGGCTCCTTCGAGACAGTCGCAAAAATTTTGAGATTAATTCCTATGGAAAATATTGAAGGCCTCTCCTTGGATGAGGCCATGGTGTGTCCCTACCTGACCGCTGTAGACAAATGGATTTGAATTACAAATGCTACTTTCCCCAGCTCTTCCCGAAAGCTTTTCGCTGTGGGAGATCTGCGGCTAGGACCTGGGGGATGAGACCTGGTCCGTGTTTGAGAGGGACATTGGGTGGGGGAGTGAGTTCCTCTGCTCTGAGATGCCACTCGAGAGCTCTGCAGAAAGAAGGACAATCAACTTCAAGAGTGTCTGGTATCTACCAACTGCTGGAAAAAATCCACGGGGAGCATTCCTGCATCTCGCGATGATGCCTGTTAAACACACTTGTCCTTGAGGACTCGACTGTGAGGGAGAACCCAGCTGGGAAAGCTGGAGCCAGCTCTGAGCTGTTCACGGGGCAGGTGGACTGAGGGCAGACGGGCACAGAGGGAGGGGGTCCACGACCCTCAGCCACCTGCCAGATGGCAATGGGGAAGTTTTAGAGTAAAGCATGTCGCCAGCCTCGGATGACTGAGTTTCAGATGACTGAGTTAAGTCATCAAGGTCATTCATGTAATCAATTTGACTGAGTTAAGTCATCAAGGTCACTCACGTAATCAATTTGGTCTTTGACCTACACATAAATAATACTGTTTCACAATGTCCTTAAAATATGTATAAAATATACCAAGTTTACAAAGGTGATAAATATCTTAATCAAAGCAAAAGAAGAGGCTTCTTAAAAGAACAGGTTTTTATCAACAGGATAACTTTATCAACAGAGTTTCTAAGTTATGTTTTCAAAGTAAATGTCTCTTCAACAAAGGAAGATTTTCTATGTTGCCACTATCCCTTTTACAAACTATTTTATAGAAGATTATATATTTTAAAGTTAATTTTTTTTTTTTACTTTACCTTCTTCTTTTCATATGCTGTTTCCCTTGCAGGCCTAAAAAAAAAAAAAAAAAGATTCTTTTCAGGCTAAAATTTGATAACTCAAAAATATAAACAATACTTAAATGTTTGATTTTTATATAACATCTTTGCATTCATAAGTAATTTTTATAAAAGGATGAAACAATAAAAAAAAGAGCTGCATTAAAGGACAAAGAAAATATATCTATAATAGTAATGAAACATTAAATTTAGATTAATGGAAAAGGAAAAACCTAACATTACTTGCGTTATGTGACGGAAGCAGTTTACCGGGGCTTTTTGCAGTTGTCCTTTTTAATAAGAACTAACTTTTATGGCAATAAAACCTATCTCCAAAGTATTCCCTAAGTCCTTATAAAAAAGAAACCCATTTTTTTTATCACCAGGATATTAGCTTTTTGAGGGCTTATTATGCAACGGCTATGCATATTATGCATTTTAATGCTCACGATCATTCTGGGAGAGAGGTAATATATTAGATCCTTTATATAGGAAGAGATGGAGCAAAGAAAGGCTGAGGAATGTGCCCAGGACCACACAGAAGTTCACCAACAGCCCAGAATTCAAACCCAGGAAATCTGGCCTGAATGCTGCTGCTCCAAAATATTCTGAGAAAGTGATATTGAAAAGTCTTTTTAAGTAATATGATACCAAGTGAATCTCTATTATTATTTCATGTCTAGCTATAACTACAAATGATAATTCTGAATCTTAAAACATTTCTAAGAAACAAAAAGACTAGATGTAGGCAATATTGGAAATCTACTTTCAATAAAGATTTGTTTTTTGTAAAGAAATTCATCAATACACGTTCGTGCAGCCATTCTGCTGTTTCTTCATGCATCTGACATGCACTTATGGAGCACATAATATGTGTTAACGACACTTTAGTACAGGAAGCATGGCTTTTGTCATTTAGATCTTTATCATCCAAAGTAATAAACTGTAAAAGATTGTGAATTGTTTCTATTGAAAATATACAAAATCCTCCCCTTTTCCCTGCAAGCTATAAACAACTATGAAGTTAATATAATGTGATGTTTCAGAGTACCTTACAATATCATAGCTACCCACGATGATACTATCAACTAGAATCAACAAGAAATGATTAAATCCTATTCAGTATAACCTAAGTATTTGTAAATTCATGATTATATAATTTTTTAAAATCTATGTATGATAGAATTAACTTAAGTAATCATCTACATATTCATTGACATAAGAATATTACACTTCAGAGCCAATGAGCAAGCCCTTACCAAGAACTACATATGAACAGAAGTACATATGTACATAATGATCATGTACAATAATAATGTACAATTAATTTATTGTAATAGTTTAAAGATAATGTCATACAATCAATAAGCTTTCTAATATTGGGAATGCAGGTAAGATTAAACTCAATAGACACTTCCTCCGCTGGCTCATTTCCAACAGCATACATATCTACAAGCTCCTCTCTGAACATGAAACAAGAAACTCCTTTCAACTCCACATTGCTCTTCAGTTACCATCCAGGCCTCCATTCCTGGCCCAGGATATATTCCCTACGGAGCTGTTTACTTGTGTTCACTGCAGTCCAGCTTCCAAGTGGACTATTCACTGAAACGACTTCCGGCCAAAGGCTCGGATCCTCTCCTTCACCTTTCTGCCATGTTCATCCAGTAGAGTTGAGGATTCTCTTCTCTTGGCCTGTATGCTATATTATGCTGCTCTATTTCCAGAAGAAGTATTCAGGGCTAATATTTCTTCCCCTAGAAATAAAGAATTTGTCCATGTTACCTGCTGTCATCTTGATACACTTTCCTTAAAATGCTGTCATCCTTCACGTGCAGCAGCCCATCAGTCAGTGAATTGGTCTTTTCAAATACTGGTACAATCACACATTCTTCTGGTGTCCATTTGTCATTTTTCTTTTTCTCTATCTCCTTCCTGGGCATGCCAGGATCGCTACTTTTAAAAAAATCCACAAAAAAAGCCAATGTTTTCAAGTAATTCGACTAATAAAGAATAAAAAAACAATTCTTGCAAAATTCCAACTCTTACCCGTCTGAAATCATTGATTAGTTCACAAAACAGTTATGAAGTATCAACCATACGCAAGAAAACAAATTCTTCCTTCAAACACAGACACACAATTATGATACAATATGATATGTAAGAGTTGACATATGAAAGTGATAAGTGAACTAAGGAAGGCTTTATGGAAGAAGTGAAGAGAGGAGGTCAAAAGGAAGAGAAGAGCAAGAAATCATTCTACTGGGAGATTAGAATGTGAGTACACAGATCAGGCACATGGCATCTGGGGTTGTTTCCTAGAAACCTGGAAGGAAAACTACAAAACACATGAAAGAAAGTAGAGAGATGCACCTGGAAAGACATTGGGAAGAACCTCAAGGGCTACACTGAAAACCTTGAGTCCACTGGCTAAGCACAATGATTCTTAGACATGGGAGTCATGATTAGATTTACACTGTATATAAATAATTCTTTGCTTTTAAAAACAGTAATGTTTGACCTAGGAATTTCCCTGGTACTCCAGTGCTTAGGAATCTGCCTGCTCATGCAGGGGGCACAGGTTCGATCCATGGTCAGGGAAGACAGCACATGCCTCATGCAGAGCAATGAATAATGTGCTCCACAACCACTGAAGCCAGCACCCTAGAGCCCACGCTCAGCATCAAGAGAAGCCACCACAATGAGAAGCCCAAGCACTGCGGCTGCAAAGAACCAGCGCAGCCAAATAAATTACAAAAAAAAAAAAAAAAACCTCAAAGAAAAAAGTAACACTTAATTTAGATGATTTTTAAAATGGCATGTGGCACATCCACCGTGAAAGAAGAAATCAAATTTAGCGGGGCGGGGGGCAGTTTACTTGTAAACCACCCACATGATGGGGTGACATCAGCATCATGGATGAAAGGCAGGTGCCTCATCAGTTCTCCTGCCACCAACAGCAATTTGGCCTCCATCCATGGACATACTCAAAGTGCTAGGAGGAGAAAACTGCCAACCAAGAGGACTCGATCCAGAAAAGTTGTCTTTAAGAAATGAAGGAGAAACAAAAGCTTTCCCAGACAAAGCAAACCTGAGGGAGTTCATCACCACTAGTCTCGCCTCATAAGAAATGCTGAAAGAAGTCCTCAAACTGAAATGAAAGGATGTTCATTAGTGACATAAAATAAATTTAAATATACAACACACTGGTTAAGGCAAGTATGCAGTCAAGTCCAGAATACTCTATTATGTAACATGGTGGTACATTAACAAAGCAACTAGTATGAAGGCTAAAGGATAAGAGTGTTCAAAATAACTATACCCCTAGTAAAATATAAAATTCGTAAATCACAAACATTAGCTCAAGTTAGAAATCATTTTACCGGAAAATAACAAATGGCCTACTGTTAGATATTGATATAGGCTTACCCATCGGAACCTTTATTCTCCATAGCAGGAAACTCCTGCTTGTTATTTCCTCCACTCTTTCTCTGCTGAATCAATTGACTCTCATCAGCAGCATCGCATACGTGGTCTGATACTTCCACTTCTCTACTTTTGTGCCTCTTTTCTTCTTCAACCTTTAATGAAAGTTTGACACTAAGAATAATTGCTATTACTTAATTCTAAAGACTCTGTTTTCAATTTATTATTTGACTCAGCATTTGCCCGGGTTTTAAGTGATAAAAATATTTTTGTGCTTACATTAATTTTATCACAAGTCACTGAAAGTGTTGTAAAATGTGCTTCTTTCTCTTTGAGGGAAAGAAACAAAATTCCCAAAATTTCAAGAATGGCTTTCTTAATAAGATACAATTATTCACATCCAGTCTTCCCCATCTGACTGGCAGAGATAGAGAAATAAAAACACACCACATATGTCCTCTTCAGTCTTTACCACCTGGATTTTCCATTGAACAGTCAGATGTAGAGGATGTGACACCTTAGTGCCTCAGAAACAGAAAAGAAGCTTTCTTCTTTCTGCACTAAAGCTATTCTTTCCCCACTGCCTTTTCCAATTCTTTTTTCATTTGGATCCAGGAGATAGCAAAAAACCTGATGGTGTTCACTGAAATATATGACCCAAAGTTTACCAAAACACAAGGAGCAGGATGAAACTGAGGAGGTGTTAGTTAGTGTGGAATTCTGGAATATAAGGAATGCTTCCCAATTCCACATTCAATAACCATCCAATTTTATAGTTAGAGTGTATAGAAATACCTATCTATCTTTGCCCCACTATTTACCAATAACAGCTTTAAAATCAAAAAGGGTAAATGAGTTGTTCAAAGCCCCTAAAGTGGCATTCCCTAACATTTTATGGCACCAAAAGAGATGATACAATTCTGTCATCTTGAATCTGATAAAATTACCAAATGAATTCATCAAATGAATCAGGTAAGTTCAAAGCGTGACTTTGGCAAAGTAATTTAATTCATTAATTGGGGGTAGGGTTCATTCTCCTTTTTCTTTAAAGGAGAATAGCTACATTTTTCTCTTTTTTTTGGTCTTACACAGAAGAGCAAGCACGTTTAAAAACGTACTACTGAAGAAAGAAAAATCTCACAGCATCTCAAATCTCAGTTTTTCCTTTGGCGATAAACACTTGATTTTTTTCTTTTTTCTTTTTTTTTTTTTTTTGCTGAGAGTTTATACTATCTATGGGCTTCCCTGGTGGCTCAGAGGTTAAAGAATCTGCTTTCAATGCAGGAGACCTGGCTTCAATCCCTGGGTTGGGAAGATCCCGTGGAGAAGGGAATGGCTATCCACTCCAATGATATTCTGGCCTGGAGAAATCCGTGGACAGGGCAGCCTGGCCAGCTACAGTCCATGGGGTCACAAAGAGTCAGACACGACTGACCAACTCTCACACACGCACATACTACCTATGTGACAAAATCACACATGTCAAAACTTACTACATTTTAGTAAACAACATTGTGAAGCAGTCTCTCTCAAAAGAGACATCTGAGAGTGGTGATTAAAGCATAGGTGGGAGTGCATGTATTTGTTATTAAAAACATCCTGAGGTGGCCATGTTGGAAATCTAAGTGCCCAGGGACTGGGGAAAGCAGAGAAGATCACACATATTCAATCACAATGAAGAGATTAGAGGGAACACATGTTCATGCCCCTTCTCTGTTTCTGCTTTCTTCCCATTCTGTGGAAATACAACTTACATTTTATCCAACAGAGTGAAAAAAAAAAAAAAACCAACAACAAATGCAAAACCTTAGTTGATCATACTCCTTAAACACTTTCCTTGGTGCTTATTCTGGCTCAGAAGGTCACATGATATGGAGCTAAATGAGTTTCCCAGTCCATATGAAAGACTGACAGAGACAGCATTAGACTGATTGAAGGAAGAAAGCTATGAAAACAGTTTCCTGAATTCCTATTATTTGGATGGCAGAAATAATCTATTTCTACACAATTACCTATTTAGATGACCCCACTTTATTCATAAGTAGAAAATCAAAATGGACCAGATCATCCAGAAAGGGAAAAACCAAAGCAAGAGCAAATGAACCTCTACCTCTTTTGGAAGCTGAATTTTCTCTTTGTCCAAAGCTAACAACACTACTTATAACATGTCTATTTCACTCGTAAACCTCTGCATATCCTTCTGTCATTCTTCACTTAGATACACTTTGGATGCTCTGTGACTATTTGGTGGAGAAGAATTCCCATTTTTCAAACGGGTTCCACACTTTCATCATCACTAGCACGGCAATTACCTGCATGCAGTAGCTTCTGGAACCAGTCCTGTATTGGTTTGCTTTTCTTATCAGTATCTTTCATGACAGCAGGAGTACCGTGACTTTGTATTTGAATTATGTGTTTCATCTTACCGGAGCAGACAAGCCACAGACTAGCCTGATGTGTCTGTCCAATGTCTAATTTCCGATTCGTGGGATTTTGCCTCATATTGTCTGAGATTTGCATATCAAAGTCTTGGTCATCTTTCACTTCAAATGTAACTACCTGGTCCCCTACTTTTTTATTTTCTGCATCATTATAAAAACTCTCCTCATTTTTGATAAACACATGTTCAATATCTAGTTTATCACTTTCAAGGTCTATTTTATTTTCACTGAAACAAAGCTTGGAAGATGACTGACAAGCGTATCCTGTGGACCCATAGTTCATGCGACGAAAAACCATTTTCGAGACTGGGTTCTTTTTGTTCAGGACATACTTAGAATACTAGAGAGACAGATACTCCAAATGCCTCTTTCTCCCCACAATCAGGTATATTATTTGTCATGTTAGGAGGTATTTCCTTTCTGTTTGCTCCTTCTTTAAGGTGATCATATAGTGGCTCCTCCTTAGGACAGATGATAATTTTGTATTTCTCACAAACTTCACCTAACTTCTGCTTTAAGTCATTTGTGATGGTTTTAACTTCTCTTTCTAATTTGCCTTGTTTGATCCACATTTTCTCATACTTCTCCACACAAGGAGGCCTTGAACATACAGATCTGTCCTGTCTACCACATTCCTTATTCATTTCTGGTTCTTGAGGCAATTTTTGCAGCTGCAAAAGTGGAAGATTAATTGGGTTGATTTGATTTTCAGGAGTCTTTTCTGTCAGGGTACATGTGTGCAAAATAATAGAATCCTTAAGTAATCCAGTATGGATAAATAAAAACCAGAAAATCATTAAAATTTCACTGTTAAACTTCTTAATTTATATGTAACTATGCACAAATCACCAGATCACAACTAAGAAGTGAAAAATAACTTGCCTTACCGGAAAATAGGAGAAAAACATTAACCCACAAACCCAATTTTGTCACTGCTTGATTGAATTAAACAATTCATACATGTTAAATCTACCAAAAATGAATTAGATGATTTTTAATGTTATACATGCTTCTTCCCTTAAAAATAGTTCACCTCACGATACCATATATGCAGAGTCCCTACAGCATGTCTGTTAAGGGTTTTGGTTTTCTTTTTTAAGGACTAATGTCTGGAGAACAGACAAACTTTATATGACCAGGAGCCAAAGTCAATGAACACTAATCAGAAAGAGGAACCAATTCCTAATTTTTCATGTAAATTATATATTATGATAGTGCTATACATCAATACATATTGCCTGCTTACATTCAGTTATGTGTGTGCTAAGTCGTGTCTGACTCGTTGCGACCCCAAGGACTGTAGTCCACCAGGCTCCTCTGTCCATGGGGATTCTCCAAGCAAGAAGACTTCAGTGGGTTGCCACACCCTCCTCAACCCATGCCTTCCCAACCCAGGGATCGAACCCAGGTCTCCCACATTGTAGGTGGATACTTTACTGTCTGAGCCGCCAGGGAAGCCCGACAATACTGGAGTGGGTACCCTATCCCTTCTCCAGGGAAATTTCTCGACCCAGGAATTGAAACGGGGTCTCCTGCACTGCAGGCAGATTCTTTACCAGATGAGCTACCTGGGAAGCCCCGACATTCAGTTATATTATGTTCTAATATCCGCCAAAGAAAGTGGATAAAGCATTTTTAGTAATATCTACTGATTCCCACCCCGAAATGAAATATTAGAACGTTATTATTTGTACCCTAAAAACAAAAGTCCAATCTAGAAGTTTCGATTCTCTTAATAGGCAACTGGGTTGATTCTATGACCCCACTCTCTCCCTGAATGTTCATCCCTAAGTCAATTATGCCGAGATCACAGGCAGAATGAATCTTGCATCTTGACGTCAGTGAGCGGTGATTTCAATGGAAAACCTTGAGCCACTGGGAATGATTTCTCTTTACATGTATCTAGGTCAGGGGCCGTCATATTGTTCATAATTTCAACTGCTTAATCTTACGATTCAGTCTTTGATATCACCTTCTTATGCATGTAATGAAGTTATAAAAATGGAAGAAGTAAACAAGTCAGGAAATTTTTTCCCCTCAATTCCAAAGATGAGCTATAAATTATAATAGATTCTAACAGTACTTTAAGTTGTAAAATTAAAGTGCTATAAAAACTAATAAATTATGAAACTATTAAATTAAATTATTATATTAAGTAATATAAAAACTACTAAATTAAAAAATTAAAATTATTAAATTATTACCTATCATTTCTAAAAGGGTAATTTTGAAAGGTGATTTTATTTGTTATGGACTCTGTTACACACTGTATTGTGTTGGTAAAGCATAGAAAATGGTATTAAACCAGAAATTTAAACTTATAGTTTTCCTTACCTGTGAATGGTTATTTTCATTTCCATGAAGTTTTTCTTGTTCTTCCATGTCTAGTTCTCCTGACAAATCTGCATGTTTAGTTAAAATTACTTAGAATATGTAGACAAAAAACGTAATGTTTACTTAAAACACAGATTTAAAGCATTGTACCAAATGACAGCTGAAGTCGAAATTTATCTTCAGATGAATATTTACTTGTTTAAGAAATACTTCCAATGATCAAAAACTTCAGCAAACCATTTGGGAAACACCAGATGTCACCAGGATACAGGCACACAAACACCTCAAAGATTCATTCATGAATTCACCCAAGCATCAGTGAAAAAAACAATCAGAAACCAAACAGAATTTCAAAATACAGGGCAGACATATAAAGTCACAGTATATTCTCTTCTCTACTTCATCACAGTACCTTTTAACAACATGCCAAGCTTCAACTACATTATTCTTCTTAGTTTACAAATTCCTCTTCCTTTTTATACTTTTATCAATTCCTTCATCTGAAATGCTTCCCTGGGCTCTTCTGACAATTTACTTTTCATCTTTTAAGACTCAACCGGCTTTGTGGCGTTGCCCTTGATTACAGCTTTCTTTCCCCAGATAAATAGGTCTCTCTTTCCTTGTAGCTACCTTAGTACTTTATAGACTTTTCTAGTGTTTCTTTATAGACTTCTCCAGTGATAGATATACATCTAAACTGTGAATTATTTCTTCAAATGTCTATCCTCTTGGCTTCTAGACTGCAGAGGACAAGCTGTTAAAAATCACCTTAGGATAAATAGTCTTTTTTTTTTTTTTCAATAATTACTTGTCTACCTAGATCTCACAAAGAGTCCCAGAGTTCTAAATATAATCCTGCTATCCACTCTCAGATATATGCTAAATACTAGCCTAAACAAACTTGCTTCCTCCAAACTCTCTTTGTTATTTATTATACTCCTATGGTCACAGGGAGAATGCAGACACCTTGCCAAGAGGTACTGTTTGGCTGTAGGTTGCATAAAAGGAGTCAGCACAGGCAGGTTTTGCCACAAAACCGAATCCGGATCCGTCAGAATGATGGTAAGGCTGTGCCCAGGTGGCGCACGGCTGAGTGCCCTGGGCTTCTGCATTACCTTGTTTGCTTTCCCTGTTTTCTGGCAGCGGAGACTGGCCCGGGTGATGGGGCATGGAATTCCCTACCAGAAACATCGCTGCATTTTTCATCTTTTCTTTATCTGTTGCGGTCTTCTGTCCGAGTTCTGTGGGTGCTGACTGACTTTTGGTCACCAGTTGGGACACCAACGGACGCTGATCATCAACTTTCAAATGCCTGGCTCTTTGACAAGTCTCACTATTGAGGCTCAAAGTAGTCGAATCCCAGTCTGAAAAATGTGAAAACAAACTCTTCATTTATCAGAATCTGAGTAAGAACACAACTCTGACTACCTCGTACAAAGTCTTTCTTCAGAGAATCAGTTCCACGTCCTTCTTCCCCTCAAACTCACTACACTTCAGAGGTGACTCTATCTTACATGTCACTGTCATTCATTTAGAGATGGTAACTAGCATGTCTCATTTCTTCTACTTTTCAATTTTCTAGCATTACTTTGATTCACTCAATCTTTATTATATACTCTGTATTTCATAAGAACTTTATTACTATTTTCCGTCAACATACAAATGTTTTAGTAACAAAATTTATCTCTAATTTATTTTACATTTAATTTTGCATGATGATATTGTGTGTTCTAGAGACCACGGTTTTAGAAACACTTTCAATGAATGGTACTACTTTAATTAACGATAGAAACCTAGACAACATATTAAAAAGCAAAGACATCACTTTGCTGACAAAGGTCCGTACAGTCAAAGGTCTGGTTTTTTTCAGTAGTCACGTGTGAGAGTTGGACCATAAAGAAGACTGAGTGCCGATGAATTGATGCTTTCAAATTGTGGTGCTGGAGAGACTCTTTAGAGAACGCTGGACAGCAAAGAGATCAAACCAGTCAATCCTAAGGGAGATCAATCCTGAATATTCATTGGAAGGACGGATGCTGAAGCTAAAGCTTCAATGCTTTGCACACCTGATGTGAACAGCTGGCTCACTAGAAATGCACCTGATCCTGGGAAAGACTGAGGGCAGGACGAGAAGAGAAGGGCAAGAAGAGAAGGGGGAGGCAGAGGATGAGATGGTTGGACAGCATCGCTGATTCAATGGACATGAACTTGGGCGAACTCCGGGAGATGGTGAGGAACAGAGAGGCCTGGCTGCAGTCCATGGGGTCACAAAGAGTCGGGCACAACTTAGGAACTGAACACCACCACCATCAACAACTACTTTAATTTCAATGAGATGGTCTTTCCTCAATGTACATATATCTTCAGAACTCATTTTTAAAGCCTTGGAGAAACATCATACACTGGAGAAGGAAATGGCAACCCACTCCAGTACGCTTGCCTCTTGCCTGGAAAATCTCTTGGACAGAGGATCCTGGCGGGCTACAGTCCATGAGGTCGCAGTGGTTGAACTCGACTTAGCGACTAAACAAAAACACCATAAACTTATATAAGAAATGATAGCCTTGTGTGTGACTAATTGTTTCCATGTGAAAATAGGTAAGTCTAGGACCACACTGGATCCAAAGAGCACAGAGGACCATGAGACAGGAATGAATACACCTCAAAAAACTAAAACTGTTAGATCTGAATTTCTTGAGAGAAGTCAAAGAAACAAGTAAGAAATGTAAATGTGAAACTTAAAACCCTGTGTCATCACAAGGGCCCCTTTATCAATTTATATCCAGCCACTTCAATGGTTTAAAACAGTGGTTCTCAAGTGTCCCCTCAGAATCGCTGAAGTCCAGAGACCCAACGGGTCAGGGGGTCCAAGAGGTCAGAACTCTTTTCACAACAACACTAAACGTTACCTCCATTCTCATGCTGTTCTGCGGGCAGAGTGGCATTCTTCAGAGACACGATATGGGATATCATAACACTAAGGACTAATGGAATTAGCAACTATGATGGTGTGTGCTTGTATTTTAAGTTTTTCTATTTTCCAATACAGTGAAAAACAATGAACAAAGTTCCTTGGAATTCTCAATAATTTTTTGAAGTATAAAAGGATCCTAAAGCCAAAAACTTTCAGAATCACTGTTTTGAAAGATTATGTCTATCGAATCTAAGGTATGATTACTTCTCTTACTTCTAATAATCAAAGACAACACAAACACACACACACACAGTCTGCTAATCAAAACATCCCATTGGCCTACATTCATCTGTGTAAGAACATTAAAATGAAATAAGTATAAGCTGAAATACAACTGACATATTAGCAAGTGAAGCTTTACTCTAGGGAAAGGTCAGAGTTCAGATACACATTTTTGGACACTGGAAAAATCTTAGGGTCTAATAATTAATCTCTGAGAATTGCTGAGACTATAGAGATTCCAAACTGAGAATTTAATGCATAATGAAACATATACAGAAACATCTTGAGTTCAAGCTTACATGTTAAACATTTCTTGTTCATATGCTTGTGAATATCTTTTCTTCTAAAACATGGATACCAACAGTAACATTTGCCTTATGTTTGCCCAATTCTTCAATTAAATTTGCAAAAAGAAGTTAGGAGTACAAAGAGCTAGCATTTCAAACATTTCAGTGTCCCTCTTTCCTGAAGGGACTTCGGTAAAGCATCAGCTTGCAATGCAGGAACCAGAGTTAAGTGTGTATTGCAAAATTTACCTGAATTAGATGTCTGTGCATCCTTCATTCTGACTGCTTTATTAGGAACAGAATCTTTCACTTCAACGGCCTGCTGAATGGGTTTGGAAACAAGTTGATTAATAAACAATGTACATATGATACAATCCACAGTTCATAATTCAAGATAAAACATAAACGTTTTTACCTTCACATTAGGATATTTCTCAGGAGACTCTAAAAGGCAAAAGGGACATAGAGTTAATTACATGTAAATATGAAAGCCAGCTGTATATTCATGCAGACTTAGTACCGAGCAGAATCCTCATGCTCTGCCTTGGCACTGAATACATTCAGCTTTAGAGTCTTGTTTTTAGGGGGATCTTAGGACACTGGTAAGACAGACATATGAATCCACTAAAGATAGTGAAGAAAATAATAGTAATACAGGTTCACCGAAATGTGCAGTTAAGATTTCAAAAGTAACATTACATTTTCAATGGCTTTATAAAACATTAATGTGCACACAGACCAATGTGAACATGCTGACTGATGAGGAGAAAATGGATCTTAATCAGAGGAGGAAGTCATGAACCCAAGAAGATAAATGTGAAAGCTGATGGTAAAATGCAACAGCATATCTTGAATGAAACATGGACGTTATCATTTACACCATTATATGATAAATATTTATCATGTTCTTCAATCTGTCCATTCATTTAAGAAGTGCACAGTTGGGATGACAGTTCACCAGAATGTATAATTCATTTCTCATCAAAGACAGGGTAATGGACTGATTAGCCTGGATATACACTTGTGGAAAAATGGCTCATAAAAATACTCATGTTTTTTTCCATATCCATGTGGGCTACTGGCATGCCTACATGTCTTGGCTCTTCTAGTTTAGCCATCTTAAAGTTTCTCGATCCACTCATGCACGAAAGTATACAAGACACATCTAGGAAATAATGTATAATCAATTCTCAATATTCAAATACAATTATCAAAAAGGAAATAATACATTGAATTGCCACAGAATTATTAGAAATTAAAAATCTTGCATGTTTCAAAATCAGTGTATTATTTATTAAAAGTATTTCTAGCATTTAAGGAATGAACCCTATTAATCTGTTTGGCTTCAAAATTTAGTTTGGTTTGGTACATCATGGTAATGCTTCAAAGGATTTCTATGAAACAACTTTCAAAAAATCAGCTATCTTTTTAAAAAAAGAATTCAATGCCTCCATTTTCAAATTAATCTAATTAGAATAACAAATACCGGTACAACATATACCTCTGATGCCTAAGAGTTACTCGGAGGGGCTGCCGATTCCCCCACTTCTAGCACCCCCTCCCACCTCCAGGATTCTCTGGAGCAATAATGATCTTATCTCTTTTCAGGGTAAATACACTGAAGTCATCTAGAAGGAGCGCTCTCAAGTGTCCCCATCAACTCCAAACTCACCTCCCTAAGGCCGTGCTTACCTCCCTTTGTCCTTTCACTAGATTCTCTCCTCTCTAAATGGTAATCTCTGGATCTGTGGACTTAAATCTTCCCCCTTGACATCCTTTCTATGGATCATCCCTACCATGTCTTTCTCCTTCTTTGCTTAGCAATGGTATCTTACACCTATAACTGCTACTTCAACTCTTCGCTTCCCTCTGGCTATAAACACGCTCAGAAGGAAACACAAAATAACGCTTTTCCTTGATCCAGTTATGTCCTGCACTATCCAATGCTCTTCTTCCAGATTTCTCTAAAGGCAAGGCTACACCCTTGCTACTTGGACAGCTTGTTAGAAACAAAGACTCTCAGATCTCCTGCTCAGCATGTGCACTTCACACATGGTCCCCAAGTGACTAACTAAAACTTGAGAAACTGGTCTACACGGAGTCTGCTTCTACATGACTTCAACTTAATTCATGCTCCTGAAATCTCAGCCTCTGTTTCCTCACGCCAACACGTCCCCCGAAACTGAAATGGCATTAGAAGCTGGGAAGCTTCCAGTGGACTCTCTATGAGGCTGTGGGTTCCTTGGTCTCCCCATCACGCCCCCTGCTCTCTCCTTCTTTCCAGCTCTCTTGTTTTGTCCCATGTGATACCATCCTAGACAGCAGCAACATTTCATATGACATCAATTTGCACACGTTTACAGCTGAGCTCCTATGCCTGCACTCCACAGAAGATAAAACACAGCTCTGCATGCCTGGAGACGTCAGGTCTGAATGTCTTCCTAATAACGAGTACAACAGGAAGAGGGGGGAGAACTTTGCAGTTCTTCCCTGACAAGTTTTGGTGTCGGAGGCTCACTTCAAATCCATCGTCCATGTCAAATACTCTCCCTTTATCTAAGGACCTTCATTACTTATTCCACCTTCCCCCACAGACCCGTGCTTCCTTTTGCTCATTTCCTCCCTGTACCCTCTGACTCTCTCATCTTTCATTCTCTCTTGCCTCTTGTTTCTTCACCTTCCTTAGGGCGTAGAGTTATCTTGAAATAGAAGTAATAATTTCCTTTTGGTCATGTGTCACATGGGATCTTAGTTCCCTGACCAGGGAATGAAACTGCACCACCTGAATTGGAGAGTCTTAACTGGACAAAGTCTTAAAACACTGGACCATGAAGTAAGTCTAAGAACTAATAATTTAGTTTCTTAAACTGGATTCTCAATGTAATCTGTGGTAGACACCTGATAAGATGCACGATTGCCCTCCTTTTCTCGTCTTTTTTCTCACTACCCATCTGACAGGTGATTTTCTTTGCCTATTAGAGTATATCAGCATTCCCGTTTTCAATCAACATTCTGCCAAATGATTTTTCTGTAAAATACAGTTCTTACCTTCTATTTGTTCATTTAATGTCTTTTTTTCTCTTTGACCAGCAGTTCCAGGCAAATGACCCACATACTTCTGTGGAAGGCTCTCAGAAACACTCTGCTAGAATGAATGATAACAATGGGTTGCATGAAGAGTTCCTAATCCCTTTTGAAGAAAGCACCCTACTTTTAACCCGGTTAAGACAGATTTTGCCAAGATCCCACAGTTGCTATGTGACAGAACCAGGATGCCGAATTCAAACACGGTTCTGCATCACCAAGCAGTGGTTGCCACATCTAAGAGATCAGCCCCTTCTTATCTCCTTCCATAGCTGCCACCTTCAAACAGGGCACCGTTACTTTATGTTACTTCAAGTACGGCTGCCATAAAGATACTCTGCACGTGCTATGTAAGCTATCCAAAATGCTTTGCACTTACTGAAACATCACTAAAGCTAACTGCTGTTATTATAACCCCACATATCCATTACTATTTCCCATGCTTTTGCTTCTCTTGAAATGTTCCCTGCAGATCAACTTGACAATCCAAATGTAGTAATACCTTCAAGCTTCAAGCACTATCTTGTGGTAAAAAATCACAGTTGAAATGAAAATCAAAACTACAATGAGATACCACCTCACACCAGTCAGAATGGCCATCATCCAAAAGTCTGCTGTTGCTGCTGTTGCTTGGTCGCTTCAGTCGTGTCCGACTCTGTGCCACCCTATGGACTGAAGCCTGCCAGGCTCCCCTGTCCATTGCATTCTCCAGGCAAGAATACTGGAGTGGGTCGCCATGCCTTCCTTCCCAACACACGGATCAAACCCAGGTCTCCCACTGCAGGCCGATTCTTTACCACTCAGCCACAATGAGATACCACCTCACACCAGTCAGAATGGCCATCATCAAAAAGTCTACAAACAATGAATGGTGGAGAGGGTGTGGAGGCTGCTGGTGGGAAGGTAAATTGATACAACCACTATGGAAGATGCTATGCAGATTCCTTCAGAAACTGGAATAAAACCACCATATGACCCAGCAATCCCACTGCCAGGAGTATACCCTGAGGCAACCAAAGTGGAAAAGACACATGCACTCTGATTTTCATTGCAGTGCTATTTATGATAGCTAGAACACGGAAGCAACTTAGATGGCCATTGACAGATGAATGGATGAAGATGTGGTGGTACATATATACAAAGGAACATTACTCAGCTGTAAAAAGGAACGCATTTGAGTCAGTTCTAACGAGGTGGATGAACCTAGAGCCTATTATACATAGTGAGGTAAGTCAGAAAGACAAATATAAATATCATATACTAATGCAGATGTATGGAATCTAGAAAGAGAGTACTGATGAATTTATTTGCAGGGCAGCAATGGAGAAACAGACATAGAGAAAAGACTTACAGGCACGGGGGAAGGGAAGAGGGGAGAGGGTGAGATGGATGGAGAGAATAACATGGAAACTTACAATTCCATCTGTAAAATAGATAGCCAGTGGGAATTTGCTCTATCACTCAGGGAACTCAAGAGGGTCTCTGCAACAATCAAGAAGGGTGGGATGGAGAGGGAGATGCAGGGGGGTTTGGGAGGGAGTGGACGTGGCTGTACCTATGGCTGATTCTTGTTGGTGTCTGACAACAAGAAAACAACAAAATTCTGGGAAGCAATTATCCTTCAGTTAAGAATAAATGAATTTTTTACAACCCTATTTGAACATTCACATGGTTGACTGTTTCTTTCCCTGTAAACAGCACACTGACGACTCTTATTTCCTATCTATGTCTTCTGGATTCCAGGGAAAGATGAAAGGAATGATCTAGACATAAAAAAAAAAGGAGCAAAACGATGATTATCCAAGTTGAAGGTTTAAAAGTTTTCAAATACATTTATGATGATCAAGCAGGACTCAGTAATCACATCAGGAAAGAAAGAACAAACTAAAAAAATCAAGTAACCAAAATGACTAACTTTCTGATATGGAAGAATTTACATGTTAGTTTCACATGTATAACAAAGAATTGACATGGTAATTTAACATCTATAAACACTGAAATTAATAAAGTTCCTTAAAAAAAAATGGGGGGCGGTCTGAAGATGGCAGAGGAATAGGACGGGGAGACCACTTTCTCCCTCACAAATTCATCGAAAGATCATTTGAATGCTGAGCAAACTCCAGAAAACAACTTCTGAATGCTGGCAGAGACCATCAGACACCCAGAGAGTCAGCCCATTGCCTTCGAAAGGAGGTAGGACAAAATATAAAAGATAAAAAGAGAGGCAAAAGAGGTAGGGATGGAGATCCATCCCAGGAAGGGAGTTGTAAAAGAGGAGAAGTTTCCAAACACCAGGAAACACTCTCACCGGCGGGTCTGTGGGGAGACTTGGAATGTCAGAGGGCCATGTAACAAGGAGGAAAAATAAATAAATAAATAAACCCCACAGATTATGTGCCTAACGGCAACTCCCAGTGCTCGCATCCGCCACCAGCAAGGGGGGGCTGCATTGCTTATGTTGAGGACCAGGCCTGAATGCCCTGAGGGCAATCTGAGGGAACTAACATGAGATAGCAACCTAAACTGTAGGACAGCCAGAGAGAGAGAGGGACAAAAGAGAGAGAGAGAACTACCCCGCAAAAAGCCCTAAACTAAGGCACTGCCAGGCCCGCCCACAGAACAAAGGACTGAGTGAATACCAGAGGAGAGCTAGCCCACTGCAGACCACCTCATGCCCCACCGGAGGCAGGGAGGCAGGAGGCGGGCAGCCAGAGCTGGAAAGAGGCAAACTCGGCCCCAGAGAGGCATCCTCTACCAAACTGCAAGCACACACCCTGTCACTAACCAAAACTTCTTGGGATTCTGGATGGTTGACATCCGCTGGGAGGGTCCCAGCCAGAGATCAGTTCCCCAGAAGAGACGCATGGCACACCAGAGATGGCCACGCCCATTGCCACCCAGTAAACTCAGTGGCTGGGACCCGGGAGGTGATAAGACGCAGCCCCCACCTGGGGAGATGACGCTCGCCAAGCAGCTGGTCACCTGAGCTGCTCAGACCTGGGAGGGGCACAAAACGCAGGCCCAACCCGAGTCTGCACCTTTGTGGAGTACACGAGAACCTGAAACTGAGTGGCTTAGACCTGGGAAGTGCACACAATCCAGGGCCCGCCTCAGACACTTTCCCCGCAGAGCAACCTAGAGCCTGAGAAGTGTACACTGGGAAAGTGCACACGCCATGAGCGGGGGCAAACCCAGTGCGGCCGAGACACTGTGCGCACTCCCCACACACGCCGGTGATATTGCTTGCAGTGTTCCTCCATCCCCACAGCAGGGCTGAACAGGTGAGCTTAAGTAAGTGACCACCTTCGCCCCTTGTGTCTGGACAGAAGTTAGACACTTGAAGAGACCAGCAAACAGAAGAAGCAAAATCAAACAGAGGGAACCACTTTGGAAATGACAGGTGCAAAAGATTAAAACCCTGAAGTTAGCAGTGACTATGTTGGAAGGGGCCAATAGATCTTGAGAGGTATAAGCTGGATCAAGGAACTATCTGAAATTGAACTGACCCCACAATGCCCGCAACAGCTACAGAGAAATTCCTAGATCTATTTGTACTATTATCATGTTTAAATTTTTTTTTAATTTTTAAGTCCTCTATTACTCCTTTAATTTTCATTTTTACAACCTACTATTACCTTGCAAAAAAAAAAAAGACCCTATTTGAAAAGCAAAATTCATATATATACTTTATAATTTTTTGTGACTTTGTTTTCTTTTCTTAATATTGTGTTTTTGAGAGTCTAACCTCTACTCTAGATTTTTAATCTTTGCTTTTTGGCATTTGTTATCAATTTTGTATCTTTAAGAACTCAATCTGCAGTACTCATTTTTACTTGGGAGTGTGATTACTGGCTTGATTGCTCTCTCCCCCTTTTGACTCTCCTTGTCTCCACAAGGTCACCTCTATCTCCGCCCTCTCCTTTCTCTTCGCTACCTAACTCTGTGAATCTCTATGTGTGTTCTGGGCTGTGCAGAACACTTAGGGAACTGATTACTGGCTGGATCTGTCTGTCTCCTTTTGATTCCCACTTTTATCCTCCTGGCCACCTCTGTCTCCTTCCTCCCTCTTCTCTTATCTGTGCAACTATGTGAACCTCTCTGAGGGGTCCAGACTGTGGAGAGCACATAGGGAAGTCATTACTGGCTAGCTTGCTCTCTCCCCTTTTTATACCCCCTCTTCTCCTCCTGGTCACCTCTATATCCCTCCTCCCTCTTCTCTTCTCCAAGTAACTCTGTGAACCTATCTGGGGATCCCTCAGTGTGGAGAAACTTTTCATCATTAACCTAGACATTTTATCATCAGTGCTGTATAGATGGAGAAGTTTGGAGGCTACTGTAAGAATAAGACTGAAAACCAGAGGCAGGAGGCATAAGTCCAAAACCTGAGAACACCAGAGAACCCCTGACTCCTGGGAACATTAATTCAAAAGCCTCATCCAAAAGCCTCCATACCTACACTGAAACCAAGCACCACCCAAAAGCCAACAAGTTCCAGACCAAAACATCCCACACAAATTCTCAAGCAATGCAGGAACATATCCCTGAGCTTCAATATACAAGATGTCCAAAGGCACTCCAAACCCATAGACATCTCAAAACTCACTACTGGACACTTCATTGCACTTCAGAGAGAAGAGATCCAGCTCCCCCCACCAGAACACCAACGCAAGCTTCCCGAACCAGGAAACCTTGACAAGCCACCTGTCCAACCCCACCCACAGTGAGGAACCCCCACAATAAAGAGGAATCACAAACTGCCAGAATACAGAAAGGCCACCCCAAACACAGCAATCTAAACAAGATGAAAAGGCAGAAAAATACTGAGCAGGATACAGGAACAGGATAAATGCCCACCAAACCAAACAAAAGAGGAGGAGATGGAAGTACCTGAAAAAGACTTCCGAAGAATGATAGTGAAAATGATCCAAAATCTTGAAAACAAAACAGAGTTACAGATAAATAGCCTGGAGACAAGGATTGAGAAGATGCAAGTAATGTTTAACAAAAACCTAGAAGAAATACAAAAGAGTCAATCAATAATGAATAATGCAATAAATGAGA